ACTTTAATTATTAAAAGTAGAATTATTTTTTTATAATATTTTAATTATTAGCAATAAAACTGTTTTATTTTTTATATTTGTTATTTAATTATTTTTTTTTATGTATATATTAACAAATTTTAACAAATTAAATATGAACTAATGTTATCAAGAGCTGTTAAGAATTTCCGCCTGTACAAGTTTTGTGTATTCTGTAACTCCAGTTTTAGATATACATATGTATGTACTTAATAAAAAATAAAATAACTATGTACTATTTATGTGAATTTTTATGTCATCTACTTATTGATTAAAATCGAATTATTTTAGTATTGAATTGAATTTCTAAATTTTCTTTACCGAAATACATATAAATAATGTGGTACGCACAAATATTGTGGCCATATTAGACAAATTGGGTATCATATGAATCGAGAAAATTTAAATTAAATAACCATYATTTCAATTCCTTAAATATTATTGCTTATGTGTTCTCCTGCCAGAGTTGCTACCGATATTGCCTTAAGTCTGTTGGCCCGATAAAAGGCTACTACCGGCACTTAATTAGACAAGCTAGCAAGTCAGCAGCATATTAATCAAATTTACGAGGAGAAGATTCTACTCATCCATCAATTCAAATTCGTTACACTTACTGAATTCCAAGACAATTACCAATTAGTTTGTTACCCACTTTTGTTACATTAAACAAATCAGGCATATAGTTTAAAGTTAAATTATACTATTGTCAAATATTGACAGAGAGCTCGATTATAATTTTCATAATCGACAAATCAACATATAGCCATTGAGCAGTCTTGCCACTCCACCGAAATATCATTTCCTTCCTCTCTCGCTCTGCCGTTTTTTCTGTAAATCTCTATCTCCTGCCCCTCGCTATGTTCCACGATTTTTTTGCTACTCTGCATTTTTTATGAAAATATATGCAGTATTTCCAATTACACTTTATTTCAAACAATTAGCCAGTCAGAAATGCCAGAACGAACCCTCGAACCGCGCTCTGCTCATGCGATGACTCCACTTTGCCGCCCCAGCTTTGGGCTAATAATGTTAGCGCCATATTTGACCGCCGTGTTGGCGTTATCACGACTCGACCAGGCCGGACGAGCTGGCCGAAGGCAACAATGTTGGCTAACCGCAAGGCTGGCCGCCAGGTGCAAGTGGCCGTGTTACCAAACCGGGGAGAGCTGGGATAAGGGCTGGTAGCTTAGGGCTGTGGACGGTGTACGGCAGCAGGCGCCGGGCGCCGGGCGGGTAGCAGGGCACATTTACATCATTTGCGGTCTGTGCGGGGCATTTGCATTTTGCATTTGGCATTTGCCATTTGGCATGGCACGGAATCTCACGGATATGTGTCTATAACAAAACAATTAGAGACGACGACGACGAGGACGACGGCAAAGCCCTTGACGATTGGACGCTGATTTATGAGCGCTGCAGGGCGGTGCGGTGCGGTGCGGTGCCATGTGGTGGCTACACAAAAACTCCAAGACAGGCACGTAGCAGCAGGCCGCGGGGATTAGTTTGAAGGCAAAAGGCAAATAAAAGAAAACGCGACGCACACATAAAAAGCCAAGCCGAAAAACTGCTGCTTGATGGCTGTGAGTGGGTGGATCGCTGGTTGAGCTGACTGCTGACTGCTGACTTCTCCATGTTTCTCTATCTCCCCCTCTCACTCCCTCTCTCCTTCTCTTTTTTGGTTAAGTCAGCCGTTGGGCATTGGGGCATAGTAAAATGCTAGTGAAACAATTATGCAATTACTTAATTTGATAGCCCAAGTGTGTGCCATCTCTCGGCATACGAGGCCCCATTCCGAGGCTTCTACTCGTGCATATTGCGTATACGCCCCGCTCACCTAACTCCCACTCTCTCTTCCTCTTTCTGTGTCTTTACATTGCCTTTGCTTTGTGGCCTGTAATTGTTTTAACTGCCCTGTGCACGCGCTGTGTTTACACGACCTGTGACCAGTACGAGTGACGCTGACTATAAGCGACTGCCTACTTTATGCTTGCTGCATGTGTTTGCGAGTGTGTGTGGGTATATGGCAGGGGCTTCCGGCTCTAGCTGTTGGCATTTATGAATTTGTTGTTAATATATTTGCATGCAGCGTGCATTACTTCTAGCTGGGCGAACATTTCTTGGCCAAGAAAGTCCGCAAAGTGCTCTGCCCCGACTATACAATAAAACTTTAAAGCTGCCACACCCTCTCACTAATTCAGTTCAGCCTAAAAGCCTCGGCGAGGTTAGACAAGATATTGCCATTAGCACAGAGTGACGCCACATTCTAAGCTCGCAGATTTTGTGCTCACCCTTCATTTGGCTTGAACTGCCTATAAGTATCTTAGGGTTCCATGAGTCGTGCACAATAACCTCCGCTTGAAAGGTGTCATGGAGTGCAGCAACAACAACAACAGCAACAGCAACAATAAAGAAAAAAGGGTACGTAGTTAAGATGAATAAGTTGTTATTATCATGGCTAAAAATATGTCATACGCCACGTGGGTTTGTTTGCTCTGCGACT